AAACGTATTATTTATTTTGATATTCTCTATACTAACGATTTTTTTTGCAACTAAAAGTTAGGCGTTAGAAAATTTGATTAAATTTGTGACATTTTTATTATACTTAGAGATTTAGTTGCGCATTTCGAAGAATTCAGCATATTGTCTATATACGTTTTACTTAGTAAACATTGGGCTTTCATACAGTAGAATAAAATATTGCGACTTTTTGCGACTTTGCTGATAAAATGAGAAAAACATTCTTGGTTTCCTCTAATTTGCCAATCAGTGATATACTAATGCGAGGTGTAAACCGCGATGGCATTGTTGTGTATAAAGCGATCAACCATTAGCAGTATAGCACAATTTGGCATTAGTAGCGACGTTAGTGGTATGGGCATTGCTCGCGGATCAGTCGTAGCATTAGTAGTATTAGTTGCGATATTACTACTGACATTAGTGGCATTGACCGTGGAAACACTGGAACAGTGATTTTTCTTTCTTTTTTAGAATCGACGAATTGTCCTTTATTTTGTTCATATTATTTCCTCTTTAATTGAAAATAGCAATAATTTATATATGGTCTACATAAAAAAATTTCGATCAACTATCTGTGTCAAATACCCCACTGTGCGTCTGTTCGTCTGTCTGTAACACGATAACTCAAAAACCGTTAAACCGATTTTATCCAAATTTGGTACAAAAATACTGTGGCACCCGAGAATCTGGCCGTTAGTTTTCGGTGGGGGTGGGAGGTTGGTAAGGGGGTATGGGAGGGGGTTAAAATTATTAAAAAATCGTAACTCCAAAATTACAGTAGCTAGCGAAACGCGGTTTTCAATTTAAGATTAGGAATAATATTTGCAACAAAATTTGTAATAACATCAAAATCAGTCAAAAAGTCGCAGTTTTTGAAACTAAAAGAACTGCCTACCAACTTTTTATTAACATATTTTAGTATGGGCGGCTATACGTGCCTCCCGGCGCCAATTTTTTTTATCTGCTTCCTAGCTGCCGCCTATCAATTTAAAAAGAAATGCTGCTTTTAAAAAATTATCAAAAAAATATATAAAAATCTGATTTTAGTCTTTTATTATAAAAAGACTTCAATCTTTTTAATGACTTAAGCCTTTTCTAAAAAGACTTAAATCTTTTTCTATTTCGGAATAAAGATTTTAATCACAAATCATTTTGAAAAAAACTTAAACTTTAAGTTTTAAGTCGGCTTTCATAAAATGACTTAAAATCAAATGACTTAAGTTTTTAAAATGATTTAAGTCAGTGGCGTAGCTAGCATTGAAAGGGCCCTGTATCACGAATTTCGCAGGGGGCCCCTGAGACAGAACCATGAGGGAGGGGGGTAAATAAAATAAAAAAACTTACCGTCTGATAAAAAAAAACTTACCGTCAGTAACAATAATTACTAGGTATATAACAATTTTATTTTTTATTTTTGGAAATCGTTTGATGTATACGGGGACAGGCGAATGTGTGATAGCTGCGTGCTCTGGCTGTAGTTTATACGGGGTTTCATTAAAGTATGAGCAAAGTTTGCATAATTACGAAAAATTTTGATGCTAACATCATATTTTGTTTTTTTTATTGCTCGGTGGGCCCCTCAGGTTAGTGGGCCCTGTATCATTGATACAGCTGATACAGCGGTTGCTACGCCACTGATTTAAGTCCAAAAGAGACTTAAGTATTCTGTGAGCTTGCAGCTCATCTGCTTGTACAACAGTAAAACACTCCACCCACAGGGCCGTCCTTAGACTGTTGCCCACCTGGAGCAAGCCCGAAAAAATACGCCCCCCCCCCTTCAGACAATGGTTTTTTTATTAGTGCGAAGTTTGATCCGAAGAATCAGGTGTGAAAAAAAAATTATGAAAGTTGTGCCACAGATGGTAAGAAATATTATCAAACGCTTTCCGAAAAAAAAAGGAAATAAATATTGCAAGATTTTCAGAATTAGCATTTAAATTTTGTATTTAAAAGGAGCATCACATGGTGCCTAACAAGAATAAAAAAAAATATTATAAGGTACATTAGCCAAACTAACACCTAAAACTAGGTAATATAAATTATGATAAATTACCCAAGTAGCATTTTCACGACTTGCGACCACATGTTTACTAAACACAACGTTGGATTAGTTACAAAAAATAGTTAGCTCCCCACCTTGGGTATTAAAATAAATTTAAACGTTTTTATAACGTTGCGCCGACGTTGGACTAGTACTACAGCAAAGTAGAAGCTTCTGCGACGTCGAATAAACGTTGTCTTGTAACCTTTTTTGCTTAAGTGATCTTTAGGTGATTCGGACAATGTAGTTACAACGTTGGACAATATAGAGTTTTCCGACGTCAGTTTCAGGACCTATTCCAACGTTATGCAAACGTCGTCTGTTTTACTAATTCCAACGTTGTTTAGATTTTCTTATTCTTACGTTGGTAGGACGTCGAGTCACTACCTTTTTGCAACTGTACTGAACCATAACCTTAAATCTTAAATTTTCACTTCATTGTTCTGTTCAGTCAGACAGTTCAGTGCTGTTTTTGTTTTTATAAAAAACTTAATTAAAATGGGACATAAGAAAGGTACATATAAAACTAAATTTAAATATACATCGACATATATTACCGATAGTTTATCCACTCCCTCGTTTATTTAGATTATAGAGGGCGGCACAAGCTAGACTCTAGGATGACTAAATTAGGCAATCTTGCGACTAGTATACTACCTGTTAAGGCCGAACTGCGACTTTATTAGTCCAGTATGCGACTACTCGAACTACTCCATCTTAATCTCCAAAACAACAAAGTGAAAGCCGCCATGTTGTTAAATAAGAAAATGTTTCGTTCTAAAAATAGCAATTCCTGCTTTTGAATACATTAACTTGAAATATTTGACCCTAAAAAACACGCGGAAACAATTTTTTCGACTGTGAATAAATTATTCTCATTTTACTAAAAAAAATTCCAGAAAATTTTTAAAACTTCTTTAATTTTAAGGCCCATTAGTATTTTTCAAAGTAGAAACAATACATTTATCAATAAAGTTGTTTGCGTTTAACTTTTTTGCCTTGGGTAACGAGTTACAGAGTCGGTTAAAGTGTTTCAATAATTATGATCTTCAAACATCCTCCACACTTAAATACTTTTCTTTTGTTTTCCTTCACTGCCATCTGACATATGTCTCTAACTAAATCATAAAATAATATTTTTACTATAATTATCCCAATTTAGGATAAAAAACGCGACTTAGACGCCATATTAGTTTTGTATTTCTGTGAATTAGGATTTTAAACAACGTTGCAATTTGTACTAAATTAGGCTTCTAGCCAACGTCGGTATCCAACGTCGTTTCGACCCAAAAATTATTCTCCAAACTAGTGCAGACTAGGGTTGGCACGAGGTTGTGCCGACGTTGCGCCCCGACGTTTGGTCGCGTGACACAACGTTGTCCCGACGTCCAAATGCTACTTGGGTATTAACAAAACAAAATTCGTAATAAATACATAGACATAATCCTGAGAAACAAAATTCCTAACATGGATAAAACTAAAACTTTCTTCTTGCTATTTTTTTGGCAAAGTCTGAAATAAAATCGTCGATGTTTAGATTGTTCGCTATTTTGTGCTCAATAGATATTAAAGATAATCCGCTTAATCGTTCTTGTATCATACTTGATCTCAGGTAATTCTCAATTATTTTGAATTTAGAAAAACTTCTCTCTCCGGTTGCCACTGAAACCGGCAGCGTTAATAAGATTCTTATGGAGATGTAAATATTTGGAAAGTTTCCAATCAGATCGTAAATTTTTAAATATTTTAGTGTTTGTTTTGGACAACTGAAGTTTTCGGCATTATCTGGTGGTATTAGAGCAATTAGAGCTAATATCCCGTCTCGAAGCTCTAGGCCATTAATATCATGTTTGTCTCCGTCCGTTAAATAGAGATGAAGATCCATACAATGCTTTGTTATTTCCTCCCGTTGATATTCCTGAGAACTGCGAAGTCGTATAAAAACGAAAAATACTCCGAGCGAGCTTTTAACAACCTTTCCTGGAGAGCCTCATGGATTGTATCCAGGACAACAAAGAAAAAATCGATTTTAAACTTTTCCTGTTGATCTAAAATTGGCTCATCTATATACTGATTCATATAAAAACTGTCTAGTTGTTTTTCTGTGACGAGCTCTAATGTCATTAGTTAAAACTGCTTCAATTTCCAGCTCTTCTGCTAGATCTGCAGCATACACTAATATTTCTCTAAACATAGATCGTCGTCGATAGCTTTTAGAGCTTTTGTAGACTCAATGACGTCGAGTTTCTCATTCTGAAGCAGTTTACTAGTTGCATTTATACTGTTGGAAATTTCGTACCGAAAATGACCATTTTTCCAAAATGTAGTACTGACGTACCGAATTTGGTCAAAATGTACCGAATTCAGTACAATTGTACCGAAACGGCCGCCTGGAGCAACTGCTTCTCTGCTCTATCCCTCAGGACGGCCCTGCCACCCACCAGTATAATTTATTAAACTTTGTAATATTGACATTCATACATTAATGAAGCATTATGTGGCATTGAAGACTATTTTTTTTGTGTCATGAAATCACAAAACATCTTTCTTTAGAACATTTTCTGTAATGACAATGACTGGAATTAAAAGCTATACTGTGCGAACAAATACTAGAGGCACTTCTAGTCATTAAGAAATAAAGTCCCTAGTTAAAAAAATAACAAATAATATTCATTTGTATTTTTATTTCGTTTTGTTTTGTGAATATTCAGTGTGTGATTTTGGTAATTTCCTTATTAATTACTAGTAGATTTGTACTTATTTTACCAAGTAACTAAAAATTTAATTATTGATATCAAATATATGTACCTACGTTTGAATTTTTTACAATTATTTTATTTTCACTGTCTGTTATCAGCAAGTTTTCAAAAATGAAGATGTCTAACCGATTATTTTAGATAAAGGGGTGTAGAAATTCAAGTAAAACATATTTTTATTTCAGGTGGTGGTTCGGCACTGTTGCCATTGCCAAAACCCCCAATATCGTTACAAGAGAAACAAAACCTTATAAGAAGTCTTAGCAAAAGCGGTGCCAATATACATGAACTAAATGCTATCAGAAAACAATTATCAGTTTTAAAGGGCAAGTATCATTTTTCTATTTCTGTTTATTTATTTTTTTTACTTTCCTTTGTGTTTCAAAATTTATGTATTTGTATGAAATATTATAAATAAAAGTGCTTAAAGTATCAGCAAATAGTAAATAAACTATATGGCAGTTCAAATAAAACTATTCGCGAAAGAGAATATTCGTTTCATCACTATTATAAACTATAAATATCGACAGGATCACCAACATTATTAAACTGTCTATTCAAATTAATTGCAGGCGGAGGTTTGGCGAGACTGGCCCGTCCCTGTCCAGTGGTCTCTTTGATCCTCTCCGACGTCGTGGGCGACCCTTTGGACGTGATAGCCAGCGGACCCACCGTGTCCAGTCTGGACGATCCAAGGGAAGCAATTAAGGTAGAGAGTAACCGAATTATTTCGCTCTGTTTGGAATAGAAATAGAGGCTAAATCCTTGTTAAATTAGTATTAGGTTGGATTAGAGTTGTTTAAATGCCATCAGAGTTGGTCAGAAATAAAATATACTTAATATACAGGGTACCCCAGGCTGAGCGTGGATTAGAAGTTTCTAGAAAACCACAATATTTAGATCGGAGATTATCTAGATCGGAGATTTTTTGCACATCATTGTTTTAGAACGTGATCTATCGATTAAAAATATTTTCAATATGGCGGCACTTCCGGAAATATAGGAAGTTGACAGCAACTTTCTTATTTTATATGGGTGCCCCCATTTTTTCTATGAATATTGATGTTAAACACTCTATACCTAATATTTGCCGTTTTTGAGAAAAAAAAATTAAAATTTTTGGACCGAATAAAATACCTGTCAAAAAAATTTCTATAGCCCAAAAATCGAATTTATTGATTACCACAGCCATTGTGACATAAAGTGTGGCTATCTATTTCAAAAATTAAATTGTTCAAATGTCATATAACAATGGCGGCAGCTGTCATGGAATTGAGCGATTAAAAAATTATCATAAATAATTTTTCTCAAATGGAAACTCACTTTTTTTATTTCACTAGTGAAAAGGTTTTTCAATTCGTTACTTTTTGAGTATGCATGTTCCTATACTTAAAATCAATCGTTTTTAAGTTATTTAAGATTTAGTTTCCAAACGTATATTTTTCTTGATTTTATCTTGCTTTCTTTGACATTAAGAAGTGTCAAACAATCAGACAATTTATTTCCATCTGTCAGAAAACGAAATATTTGAAGTTTCTATAATATTATAAATACTGCCTGTCCCCTCAAGAGTTTAAAAAGTGTATTTATAAAAATATATCTCGTATTTTCACTCTTTAGTAATTCTAATAGTTGATATTAATAATATACCGTATGATCGAAAAAAACAAAAAAACACCGCAAAGTTGGTTTGGAAATGATGATCGATAACATACTACTTTTTGAACAAAGTTTCACAATTTGACATGGCCAGATTTATTGTTTTACATCACTTGAACTTTAAAGTCATAGGCTACTGGTAAAGTACCCTATGACTAACCAACCCAAAATAATATTAATTTCACAATTATTTTTCAGATTTTAGAAAAATATAATCTCTACACCACTCTACCATCGAGTATAAAAACAGTGCTTGATTCCTCGCATCAACCATTTCAAAACCATTCTACACTTCAAGATCAATCTTCAAACAACACATTTAATCACGTTTTCAACTTTGTTATTGGTACCAACAAAATAGCTACTAAAGCAGCTGAAAATTTAGCTATCGAAAACGGATATCAATGCGCTGTGATATCGCACAAAGTTGAAGCTGATGTTGATGTTTTGGCTGGGCATTATTCTGAATTGGCTAGAGAAATATTAGCTGGAAAAAGTTGTAAGGTGATGAAAATACTGCAAGAGCTTCCGTTTGAGTTGGAAGAAGACGGTGTTGAGAAGTTGATGGGATTTGGTTTTAAAAAGAAAATGCTTTTGATTTTTGCCGGTATGTACATTTCTTTTTGGATTTTTAAAAATGGTTAGGTTGTAACAACCTTGTAACAACCGGTTGTATTTTTTTTCGGAAAAAATTGTTTTGACTATTAATTACTTAGATTAGAGGTTTCCAAATATTTTTTTTTCGCAGACAACTTTCAAAATTTTACTGCTCTGCACAGTGGTTCCCCTTAATTAGCTGCGCGGTCATAACTAATATTTAGAGATATAGCTTGACTGCACCTTTTTTAATATAAATTGATATTTGTTACCAAAAAATTTTTTTGCTCTATAAATGTATATAAAAAACTGAATGTAATATTTATTAAAAAAATTGGGCCCAGTTCGTGTGATTTGCATTTTAAGTTCTAACTATTCGGAAAGGTATACAGATTATGTTTGCACATATGTAAATGTTTTTTCATATTGAAGAGGTCAAATTTATTTTCAATGTTAAAAAAATAAAAGAGACAGTTCGTTCTTTTTATAAATACAATTTCATTGTCAATTGATATACGAATATACATGAATGTCCACGAAATAAGTGGATACGAAGAGGAAAAAATAAGTTACTTTAATTTTAAGACAAAAAGTCAATCTTTAACCACCCGGTATAAGATCGGGCGGCAATTCGCGGCAGCCACACAGTGGGCAAAAATCCAGAAGTATGTTGCAAAAATTCTTTTATTGTACGATTTCATTCAAATTTGGTAAAAACATTCTATGCCAGTAGCCCGTGAACCCAGTTAGTTTTGGCTGACTTGAGATTGGCTGGGGGTGGTGGGGGGGATTCATAAAATGGAAAAATCATCTTTTGACTAATACAGCTACAAAATGCGGTAAGAATATTTTACATTTCACTAAATTTTACGATTTTTGGCAGAGCCAAGATGAAACAGACAAATGTTGAGCAATTATTACTCCTCCGGCATATACAGGGTTTGTTAGGTTAGGTATATATATTGACATCCTCTGTATCTTTTTTATTCGACGTTTTCGAAAAAAAGTGTCTTGAATAAAAGTTTAATGGTCTGGAATACATTTTTCAAAACAGTCTTCTTTCCATATACAGGGTGCCTTAGAAATCCTGTGCGTGGCCCAACTTTCTTATTTCAAATTAGTACCCAATTTTTTATTTATTTTTTTTTTATTTTCTCCTAAAAATCCTAACTACTTTTATGTAGCATATCCTATACCTAATTTGAAATAAGATAGTTGAACCACGCTTAGATTTTTTGAAGCACTTTGGATATGCGAAATAGACTTTTTTGGCAAATTTATTCAAAACCACTTTCATTTGAGACAGTTTTCGGAAACGTCAAATAAAAAATATAAAGGGGGTGTCAATGTATAAAAGAAAACTCTAAGTATACTAATCCAATCGAACTTTTATTCAAGATTGTTTGTCATTTGAATAAGTTGGGTCTCTAATAATACCAGACAATATGTGAACAATATTTTATTATTATATTTTAAATAAGTAACAATATTCTGAGACTTAAACAATGACGATTTCGAAAATAACAGAACTTATACCTATTAAAAATATCTAAATTTTATTTTACCACCTACTATTTACTGATATTTTGTTTTATAACAGCTGGAAGGAATGGTCACAAAGTGCACATTTTTAAATCTGAAAGAAAAATCCATTTCATTTAATTTAAAAAATTAGGTACTGTCAAAATTTGTCAATTTGTTAAAAAATGTCATTTGACATTTAAAATTCTTCTCTTCGGAAATCTTGAGAAAAATTAAGTAACTTTATATTTCAAGTTCTTCTCTAGCTACTATAACAATAATTAATTTATGAGAAGTATCCACATAAAGGATCTTACTATACACATACGCATGGAGACATACGCTTCCAATAAGTTTAAAGTTGCGATTTTTTGCGATTTTTTTGACTTAACTTTTCTAAGATAGAATATATGCCACTATCAAAAAAACCTTAAATGATTATGTCCTACTTTGACCTTTACCTAGTTTTTATCCAAAAAATCAAAATAAAAGATCCTTTTTTACTTACCTTGACATTAAATTTACCGCAACCGGGAATCTACGTAAAACACTTTATGACAATTTCACAATAATTATTGACAGCAAGCTAAGGTCGTCCGATTCAATTGTTATAATACTGTGTCACTTGAATGCAACGCCTACTATTTAAAAAATTGTAGAAAAAAGGCAGTTTTGGACACAAATTAATTGAAAATGTAGGTTTTGCGCAAAGTTCGTTTTACAGCCCGTCGAAAGAGACTCAGAATATGTTTTTTTGTTAGTTTTATGTGGTTTCCTCTTAACTAATATGTTTCCAATCTAATGTTATTGCCATAAATGCTAACTGTGGATGTTATTTTTTGCAACTTGGTTTGGACATATTGCCTACTGTGAGCCAGTGGCAATTAATTTATATGCAATATACTTTAAGCAACAAGTATTATCATGGCGTTTAAGAGGATTTGAATGGGAAAGTAGTTAAAAGTCATAAAGAGTGACAAGCAAAAATGTAAAAATACTATTTTTGTTGCCTTCAAATAAATTGCCATAAACTAATATAACTTAGGTTTAATTAAGTGCATAAAAGAAAAAACAGTTCTTTTTACCTTCTTTTCGAACCTCCATTACAGAAAAGGCAACAGCTTTTATCAATTTTAATAAAATAAGTAATTAATTGGCGTTATCTGAAAACTGTTTATGTCAGCTTGATACCAGTAGCAAAAATGTGACATTCCTAATAAAAAAGCCTTACACCCCAAGTAGCAAATTTTATTTTATAAAGGCTGTATAAACAGCTATGTGATCCTTTTTATAGGATACCTCAATTCGTATAACGTGCTATAAGACCGTAATATGATAGCTTTACAACCAAAAAAGGCCCATTTTTATACAACCGTTTAGTAGTATAGAAGTTCTATAAAAAGGGTATACAACTCTTATGCAACTATTTTACACAGCGTTATATAACTATTATAAAACTAGTTTTATTGTGTATTACGTGCTCACATCTAAGAAACAGAACAATAAAAACATTTGATCATTCATCGAGGTAAAAGGGTATTTTATTTTTTACCGAAGAAAATCAGGAGCAAATTATATTTTAAGCGTGTCGTAAAATGAATCTGGAGGATGTGGATTGTTAAAAAGGAGACTTTACTCGACGGTGAAAATGGCGGGTAGAGCCAGAAGGTACAACAAATATATAATATAAAAAATCTTTGGATTTGAAAAGTAGGGACAATTTTTGTTGCGCCGAAAATTTTACTGGTAGATTATAGGTAAGTATTTGGCAAAAAATTAAAGCGCTTTAATTTCGATTAAGGTTTACGTATAAATTTAAACAATAAAATAAAATAAAATTTTCAAAAATTCTTGTTTTTAATTTAATTAAACAGATTATTACTGTATGTGGAAATCTTATCACAAAATAGTTCTCAAAAATAACATTTTACAATTTATTTTGATGTTTTTAATTTTGCTTCATATAATGGCGGCCTTAGGCCATACAAAAATTCTGCCTTAAACATGGCGAATTATAATGCAACCATTTTATTATAAATGAATCCCTTAAATAAGTCTTTGTTGTAAAATAATACGGTATAGGATAAATATCTATCATTACGCAGAATTTCCAGGCACTATAGAACTATTTTTGACATATTGAGATTTGTGACAAATAGATGTTGCCAAATCTCATTTGGTTAGTATTTAAACTAACAAACATGATCAGATTTTCATGGATTCATGCACGCAATGGATTTCATGCATGCCCGACGAGTGAGCGGCAACCTAAGGACTTGGAAAAACAACAATAAAACAATACAAACATTACTACAGTAAAACTTTTACATCAACGTGGCACCAATGCTTTGAAGAAGCCAGACAACCCGAGAGATTTTGGCTTTTGGGAACCCAGGGAATTTTCGGGATTATTTGCCGTAATTCCGAGGAGTTTTTCTTACATGCTCTTTATAACTACCACTGCGTTTGTTAACTTTTTTCCAACTTTGTCGCGAATTCATAATAGCTGTGATTATAATTCTACGTAGATATTACTTTTGCAACAACAACAGTAACAAAATAAATAACTAGGTATACCTACCATTTAATTTAAAATGAGGTTATATTATACATTACCAGTTTTATAATGCAAATATTACAGCGAATTTATTTTATTAATCACAATTTTATCATATAAGGCATAAGGCTATATAACTAGTGTTGTATACAGCACCGTAGTTTAATGCAATAAAACATTCTATTATACAACGTAATACAACTTCAATAAGACAATTTTAAGTAACTATTATATGATCTTGTGACTACTAGTTATATGAATATTATAGAACTCTTACATGGTGGGTATAAGAGTCTAATAAAATAATATGTTTTTTATCATATAGCATTGTCTTATTAAATGTTATATCATACTAAAAGAAATTATCGTTTAATGCGTTATAGGATACGTTGTCTAGAAAATAGTTTAATATGACAACTTTTATTAAAAAACAGAATGGTCGAAACCAAACGCTTAATAAAATCAAGCAGTCCTTAAGACAACGCTATTCGACTGTTATAAAATAATTCAATCCTTTTAGAATTTCTTTTTGCTACTTGGGACTAGGCTTACTTGATTTAGTTATTTATTATATATCGTTTACAGGGGAATATAAGAAAAGTACCTATTAGCAACAGTTTCATGCAAAAATTTTGAAATTAATATTTCTAAGTAATGACCTATCTGGGAACCACTGTGCTCTGGGTGGATCACTTGCTGCTACATTGCATTGCTGCGTTTATTGTTATGGTAACTGCATTGTTTAATATTGATTCAAACCTTTAACTTGTGTCATAAGAATTTGCAAAGATTTTTTAAAAATCACTGAAAAATCCAAGAACAAGAAGAAACTATCCCTTTTACTGTATGGGAAAGTCATATCATCAGCTAGGTCGTTTGCTTTTTCATTACCTTCTATCACTTGGTAGGCTGGCATTCAGAGCAGAAGGACTTTATTTTCTCTGCCTAATTCTAAAGAACATTACGAAAAAGTGTTTATTAAATATCCTTATTTCACTTGTGGAATAAAGTTGTTTTATTCCATTAGTATATAAAATATATTTTTCATCACTTTATATGAGTGGGTAAAACTCCCATTATTTTCCCCTTTCTGTATGATTGTATGGATAAAAAAAAACATTTAATTTTATTACAGGAGAGCCAACAGTTGTTGTCAGAGGCACAGGCAAAGGCGGCAGAAACCAGCAATTAGCCCTATCCCTCTCTCTGCAACTTAATAACTGGCAAGAAGCATCGCCTTCCGGCAAATCTGGAAATATTTCTTTCCTTAGCGCGGGCACAGATGGCATAGATGGGCCCACAGACGCCGCCGGAGCCGTCGGATACTCCGGATTAGTCCGGGAATGTTCCGGGCTGGATATTAACCCGGAGCCGTACTTAAAAAACAACGATTCGTACGGATTCTCCTCTTTGTTTCGGGACGGGGAATGTCTGGTTAGGATCGGGCATTCGGGGACTAACGTTATGGATTTGCATTTCTTGTTAATTGATCCGGAAGATTAATAAATAAATACTTGCTGTTTTAAAGTTATAAAGATTATAAATTGACATAAGTAAATGCGTTAAAGTGTATTTTTTTTAATTTTTGTTTTATTATTCTATACAGGGTGGTCCGAACTGTATTCCGGAAATTTCGGCAGCATATTCTGCAGATAAAAATGAATAAAAAAGTTTGTATAAATGTACGTCCTAAAATGCTTTGTTTTGGAGATACAGGGTGTAAAAGTTTCATTTTTATTTCGATTTTTTTCAAATTATTTCTGAAGCAACGTCAATATTTGGATGAAAATTATTGTCTGGGAGTTTTTTGACATGAGAAATTTGATTTTGATGTCAGTATGACTCCTACTTGTAGTGGGCACCACCTACATATTTTTTAACTGGTTTGAAGAGTAATAACTTTTCGTCCGTACCTGCATAAAACTACTGAGTAAAAAAGTATACATTTGCGACGTTTTTTACGTAAAAAGGTCTTTTGCTATAAATCGCTACGAGTAATGGTTCTCGAGATATTTTTGGAACCGAAAATTACACACATGTTGACTAAATAGTAATTAGACTGAAATGATGAATTTGAAATGTTTTTGTACCAAAAGTTCAACAGAAACTGTTTTATCATTATTTTTTCAGAGAAATATTTATGATTAATTAAAAAAGAAGTTCCCAAATTTATCATTTCAGTCAAATAACTATCTACTTGACATGTTTATTTTTTTTTCAATAATGACATTTTTTGACTCTTTCCATTCTAAATATCTTGAGAACGATTGCTCGTAGCGATTTGTACCAAGAGATATTTTTTACGTAAAAAATCACGGAAATGTATATTCTTTCACCCAGTAGTTTTATACAGGTACGGACGAAAAGTTATTACTCTCCTTGAAAAAAATATATATTTACGACGTTTTTTACGCAAAAAAGGTATCTTTGTAAAAATCGCAACGACTAAATGGTTCTCGAGATATTTGGCTGTTTTTATCATTGACATAAATTAAACATCTTGACTAGGGAATGCAATCCCGCACTAAAATCTTAATCCCGCAAACCCGCGGGATTAAAGCAGTCAATCCCGCGGATCCGCAAAATTGCGGGGCTGTAAACAATAGTCCTAAATGGTATAAAAGGCATTGTACATTTAGCGTGTTTCTTAAACTAGCTGTACAGAAATTTGGACCAATGTATACAGGTTGTTCAAAAAATATATTTAATATTAAATAAATTTAAATTTTGTTACAATTTATCTACTTATTTTATAAATAAAAATATTATTGTGATGTTGAAGTTTTTTTTAACTTGTGTTAGTTATCTGCTTTTAGATACACTCTATATCAATAATTTTTTGGCATATGCAGAATGTACAAAGCTTTCTGTACCATTTAGAACGATACTTATGACTAAAAATGCATATTTTTCGAAAAAAATGTCGTATTTTCCTTAAAACGAAAAAAAATAAAAACCGATCAAATTTTTTTTTCTAATTTCAATACAGATTAGTCGTACTTGGTAAAAATTTCGATTTTTGAAAAATTGTAAATTTGCGGTAAAAAGATTCTTAACCAAATTTTCACACTCTTATAAAACACCCTGTATACGAGAATTCACTAAATATATTTTAGAAGAACCACATAGCATCTTAATCACAATAGATGCTTCTAAAACCTGGTCCAAACCGCATCCCAAAATCTTTTTTAGTTCAAGAGATATTCGACTTTAAATTTACCCTAAAATTTTCCTTGTCCCGATAATTATGTCCGGCAGTTTTTGACGAAATTGTCCACAACTACTAGTTATAAACGCTTTTCTTCACTGACGCACATACGCCAGAAAGGAATCTAACAAGTAACCTGTTTGATTCTCTTATTTTCAATGGCCAAGCCGTAAGAAGAATCCCCCTGTTTGACCTTGATCGAGATCGATTCGGTTACCCAGTAGTAATGTGTCGCTCCCGCACGGTAAATCCCGCATTTGCGGGATCCACCATTTGCGGGATTGCATTCCCTACTTGACTAAATAGTTATTAGACAGAAATCATAAATTTGAAATGTTTTTATGCCAAAAGTTCAACAAAAACTGTTATATCATCATTTTTTCGCAGAAATATTTATGATTAATTTAAAAAAAATAAATATTTCCTAAATTAATTATTTCAGTCAAATAACTAGGTATCTACTCAACGTGTTTATTTTTTGTCAGAAATGACGTGTTGACTATTTCGATTCTCTAAATATCTTGAGAACGGTTGCTCGTAGCAGTGCCTTCTATTAAAAGATCAGCCTACGGGCGGACTTTTGTTTACTTCATCAGCTGTACATACTTAGATATTGGGTTAGATTCCGTTTCATATTTTGTCGGTTGATTTTTGGTTTTAACTCTTTGATTTTTGGTATTATTTATTATTGTAGTGCAAAAAACTAATTATTTTGGTGTTGAAGTGACATAAACTACTACCAGATATATGGTCACTCTCGGTTTCGCATAAAAAAATAGAAATTTTAAAAATTACACGTTGTGTAAGTGATTTAACCTAAAAGTGCCCATACATTTTTACTTATCGTGATTTTTGTGTGTGTTTTTTAAGACTCTAACAATTCATCAATAAAGCTTAAGTGGAGTGTGTTTTTGGTGCTATGCCTCATCTTTGTTGTGTTCCTGGTGGAAAGGACAGTTACTAAGGATAGTTATTATACTAGGCAGCCTAAAGTGTCCGGAAGAGCAAGAAAAGTGGGTACGAGTTATAAATCAAGAGAATTTTATTGAAAATATCTTTAATAAATTTAAAAATAATATTCTCCCATGATGGTATTAATGAAAACTGGACAATTATGTTTATTTTATTCGGAATCTCCACTCCAAGTGTTGCTGGTTCAGCTTCGATAGATTCAAACACGTAAGTAGGTATTATGATCTAGGGAAAAATAAAGAATATGTGTATTAGAGATCATGAAAAAGATTATTATTTTGAGTTCAAATTTTAAAAAAGATTTTTGTAAAGACAAGACTGATACAGTTTAAAAGAAGAATGTGTTTTTGTTTGATAATATATAATGTATATTAAGCATAACATATATTTGTTCAGTAATTTTAATGAATAGTATTGATTATTTATAATACCAAATTAATATCAAATATTTAAGTGATGGCTGAATACAATATGAATAAAATAACAATAAAATTGGTATATTTGCATAATACAAAATTAAGTTTTAAGAATAAAGGTGTTACTAAAAATACTAAGAAATTCATATTTCTTTGTTTTAATTGGTCTAATGTTATTTACATTTTAAGAGTAAGAATAAGTAAGAATTATACCGTATCATTGAAAAAAATCGGCGTCTAGTTGGCTTGGAAATGAACATCGATGGCATTCCCTAAATAACTGTACACATAAAATAATTAACTAGAATTTTACAATCTTGGAAAATTTGATATTCTTGAACCTTGATTCTAAATATTCTAAATTTTTTGATTTTCTTGGAATTTAGGTTCAGGAAAACGCTGATTGATTTTTCATTTGGTTTTCATTATTTTTATTTGGTTTAAAAAAAACGGTTCGGCTAACATTATAGCCTCCATCAGTGTTGTGTCATATGAAAAAATAGTGTCGAATATAATCCAAAAAATTGCATATAAAATATTCACACCACGCACATAATGTTTACTGCGTACTCCATAGTCAATGTAGATAATTTTAGTGTTAAGAATAATAATTTTTAAGAAATATGTGGTCATCTTTTGATAAGTTTATATTAGTTTATTAATTGCAGTAAACATTATGAGGTGTGAATTATATTGTATATGTAATTTTTTGGATTATATTCCACACTATTTTTCTCATATGACACAACACTGTGAAGGCTATAGTTAGCCGAAACGTTTTTTTTTAACCAAATAAAAATAATGAAAACCCAAATGAAAACTTAATCAGCGTTTTTCCCGAACCTAAAACCCAAGAAAATCAAAATTTTAGAATAATTTAACATATAAAATGCCAGCGATCTTCATTTCATAGCCATCGCTGACGCCTTTTTAGATAATATTGTATTATTTGTAAATATAATTTTTCGAACATTGATACTTGCAAAATATACATATAAATTTTGTGAATGCAAATAATAATACATCACTATTAGTAGATATTAAATGTTTTTGTTAAATTAGATCGATTTTCAAACCCCAAAATTTAAAATATATTTACATTTTACCCATTATCTTATGTACCTATACATTATTTGTACATTGTAAAACATTTGCTGCATTTGTATGGTTCATAGTTTATTTGCCAAAAGTATTTATTACTATAAATAGGTATATATGTTGTAGTTATTAACTGTATATTATGTATATTTCATTTAAACTATATCATTTTTAAAATACAAACCAAAAATCTGAGGAATAATTATGTTTTCCATGTATTCTACAACATATATTTATTAATCCGTTATATCTAACTAGCGTGACGTCATAAATCTCGCCCGCAGGCTGATCTTTTAATAGAAGGCACTGCTCGTAGCGATTTTTAACCAAGAGTCACTTGTCATGATAGTGTGTATTATTAGTTGCCTATGGCAAACTTATAAAAATAACAGCTGAGAAATTTAGAGTTAATTATTTTGTCAATTTTAAATGTAAAAAAGGTGTCTTTAAAGTTTTTAGAGCTATAGAGTGTATAAATACGTTCATTTTGTGTTGTGGATTGTGACAAAGTGCATACTAAGTGCCCATGATTTTGTTTATTAATTATTTTGAAGCAAAATATGGAAGTACTCTAAAAAGAATGCTTGCAAAAGGTGATGCTGGGAACTTCTGTTCTTAAAAATGCATTATCCGAGTATCTAATACGATTTATACAGTTAATTTTCTATACTGCATACATATAAGGTGTTTAAATAAATAAACTAAATAATGAACGTTTTGCATTCGGTAACCAATAATGCACGTGTGTGTATTATTGGTTGCCGGATAAGGACTAATAACCATGACAAGGGCTACAATGACGTCACAAAGCGAGTAGTTTTCGCATGCACCTGGCGGACACTTTTGGCTGAATGAGCAGTCCTATTAG